GAGGAGAGATTAGTTCTGCCACCTTTACAACCTACGCAAAATTGAAGCATAAACAACTTATCTGAAACCACATCTTGACCTGGTGTGCATAACAAGCATAAACGCACAGTATGCTCATGGTGAGAGCATGCTTTAAAGACAAGTTATTTAAGGAGTAGCTGACTTCCTAAGGTCTCACTTGCATAGGCCCATGTTCTCCAACATGAATGTCCTCTTCAGGCACCACGATTGGTGCTTTAAGCAGTTTTTAACTGGATAATAATACAGATTAGGTGATAATTGTATTAACTTATCAGCAATGTGTGTATTTAACATTTCCATTACCAAACCATGTGACTTAATTGTACTTATACTTTTAAGATATCAGCTGAGGGGCCACAGTGACCTTCTTGGATGGACCTGGGTGCCTTTAAAGGATGTATTTATTATAGGTTGCAGTTTAAAAAACAAAATCATAAACTCCCTAAATCCTTAGAGGTAACTTGAAAGTGACACTGTAGTTGGACTTTTATTTTTAACTCCATGTTTCAGTCTTTGGATCTTTAGCCAGAAGAATCCCTTGAGAAAATGTAGACCAGTCCTTGTATCTCAGCTTTTTCATGTCTGACACTGACTGTGTTAAGTGTTTCATTAATGCAGCAAACACAAAGACTAACTTCTTAATCAATAATACAGCTTGTAAATGCAATAAAACAAATATATTTAACCCATATTCCACATTGCACACTAGATTGCAGTGTAGTAATCAATATTTTTCCCCCGTTTGTTTGCACATTTGGTGTATTCAACGTTTCTTTTCCTGGACTTTTATTATTTTATTAGTTTGCATGAAATCAAAGAGCAGTAAAATGTGAGAATATACAGGAGCTCTTTAGGTTCTTGCAGTAAGCAGCTGTGTGTTTCTTTCTTTGGATTTTTTCGCAGTTTTAAAGAAATTTTCTACTTTTTTTAAGATCCAAACTGAACCACAACGCAGCGTTTGTGAACATCCCCATCGGGCTGGAGGGGAACATGCGTGGCATCATTGACCTCATAGAGGAGCGGAGCATGTATTTCGAAGGACAGTTTGGGTAAGATGAATTTATGTGTAAATGGGTGGTTTTTATTTTCCCTCTGCCATGAATTAGACTTAAGGTCAGCTATTGTACAATTAAACTGTTGCGATCTGCATCAGTCCCATAGAAATTGTGGATAAGACCAAGTTTCCTTACGAGTCTGATCTGTATAAAATATTTAAAGCTGCGTCGTGCTTCCTGCAGGCAAACTATGCGCTATGATGAGATCCCGGCAGATTTTCGAGCTGAGGCCGCAGACCGCAGGCAGGAACTGGTGGAGTGTGTCGCCAATGCTGATGAAATCTTGGGAGAGATGTTCCTGGAGGAAAAAATTCCAACCAAAGATGATCTGAAGGTTTGAGAGACCAGTTTGTGTGAAATCTAACAGTGTCAACTAAACTCCAACAAAAACAAACAAACAAAAAAAATCCTCAATTAAACCCGCTGGTATCTGAGGTATAGTCACTAGTTATTGGTCATTTCATTAGGTACGTCTGTTCAACTGTTCGTTAATCTGAATATCTAATCAGCCAATCACATGGCAGCAACTCAGTGCATTAGGCATGTAGACAGGGTCAGGATGACCTGCTGAAGTTCAAGCTGAGCATCGGACTGGGGAACAAAGGTGATTTAAGTGACTCTGGATGTGGTATGGGTGTTGATACCAGCTTGGTTTCAGAAGCTGCTGATCTCCTGGGTTTTTCCTGCACAACCATCTCTAGAGTTTACAGAGAATAGTCAGAAAAGGAGAAAACATCCAGTGAGCAGCAATCGTCTGTGTGTAAATGCCTTGTTGATCCCATAGGTAAAAGATCAGTAGGGCAACAATAACTTAAATAACCACTTGTTATAACCAAGAAATGAAGATAATGAATGTACGTCACATTGAACCTTGTAGCAGATGGGTTACAGCAGCAGAAGACTGCAACTGACGGTACAACTTACATGAAAAAAGGTGCTGTGGTCTGAGGACTGTTTCTGCTGTGACATTCAGATGGTCCGAATTTGACATAAACGACATGAAAGTATTGATCCATCCTGCTTCTTATCAGCAGTTCAGTTTGGTGCTGATGTAATGGTGTGGGGGATACTTTGGCCTCTTAGTACTATCTGAGGAATGATTAAATGCAGCAGCCAACCTGAGTATTGTTGCTGACCGTGCAGGTTCTCTTTATGACCACTGTGCACCAATCTTCCAGCAGGATAACACATCATGTCACAAAGCTCAAATCATCTCAAACTGGTTTCTTGAACGTGACAATTAGTTCATTGTACTCAAATGAACACCACAGTTCGCCGGATCTCAACCTAGTAGAGCACCTTTGCGATGTGGTGGAACATGAAATTCACATCATGGATGTGCAGCTGATAAATCTGCAGCAACGTTGCGATCCTCTCATGTCAACATGGATGAAAATACCTCAGGAATGTTTCCTGTGTCGTAAAGAATTAAGGCAAAAAGTAGGTCCAACCCAGTACTGTCAAGGTGTACCTAATAAAGTGACCGGTGATTGTATTTCAGACTTGATACAAGTGGTGGCGATCCAAAGAAGCAAACATATCTGAGAGTCAGTTTTGATCAGTCCGGAAATACCAAATTTGGCATCACCAGTTACCCCAAAGTTTGTATAGAAATCCTGAAAATCATTCAGAATTTTCACATCCAAATTTTGAGATTAACATTTCACATCAGCGAAGAGATAAAGGCATTTGTCTCAATCAGTTTTCACCTCACTGCCTTCCAGGCAGCAATCCGCCGGGCTACGGTGCAGCGTCTCTTCACCCCAGTGTTGGTGGGCACAGCGCTGAAGAACAAAGGTGTCCAGCCTCTACTGGACGCCGTCCTGGATTACCTGCCCAACCCCAGTGAAGTCAAAAACTACGCCATCCTCAATGAAGAGTGAGTATGAAGAGGAACGTCAGTTTGCATGCAAAGTGTCCTGAAACTGTAGATTTAAATCAAAATCAGATTAAAAGTTGTTTGTTTTTTTTTCCACTAACATTGGCGGGTTTTTCCACTCTGTTAGAGATTCCACTGAAACCAAAAAGATTCAAATGGACCCAACGAGAGACTCTGCAAACCCCTACGTTGGTCTGGCTTTCAAACTGGAGGTGATTCAGTTTGACAGAGAGCATCTGTTCTGTCTCATGTCCTCGTGATCTCTCTATTTCTGCACATTTGTGCAATAGAAATACTTCAGTTTGCCATGTTCTGCTATTTCCTGTCTTTCAGGCCGGGAGGTTTGGTCAGCTGACGTACATACGAGTGTATCAAGGCTGTCTGAAGAAGGGAGAATATATTTACAACACACGCACAAGCAAGAAAGTCAGAGTTCAGAGGCTCGTGCGTCTTCATGCTGATCAGATGGAGGTGAGAGCAAACCGGCGTTGCGTCAGCAGGCTGTGAGAGGTCACAGTTTTCCATCTGTGGTTTGCACATTAAACAGCAGAGCAGCATGACTGGTCAGAAAGATTGGGTTCCTCTTTTTGGCTTTAATCAAGTGTGTAGATATCAACCACATCCCCTGTGACACCAAAACAACATGTTTGCACCCATCTTCTATCAAAACAAGATGTGAAACTGTTTTTTAGTCATTCCTATCATCATTTTTAAAAAACAATCATCCTGCTTTTTGTGCTCTCTCTCTGCTTTGAAAGGATGTGGATGAGGTTTATGCGGGAGATATCTGTGCCCTGTTTGGAATCGACTGTGCCAGCGGAGACACTTTCACATCCAAGACAACTGCTGACCTGTCCATGGTAAGAAGCAAAGGACACCCGAAAGACAAAGAAACCTGCTTCTTTTTAAAGTGTTTTTGTGCCTCATGAGAAGCATCTTCATTTGATGTCAATTTTTAACACCCACAGGAGTCCATTCACATCCCTGAACCTGTCATTTCCATGGCGATGAAGCCAGCCAACAAGGTAAAAATACTTGTTTAACCTGAAAGACGTGCCTTTTATTATAACTCTAGTCTTAAATCCACCTCTTTGTCACTCCCTCTTATTATTAATTCCTCTTGTGCGACTGAACAGAACGACCTGGATAAATTCTCTAAAGGAATCAACCGTTTCACCAGAGAAGACCCGACGTTTAGAGTGCATTATGACACTGAGAGCAAAGAAACCATCATCTCAGGCATGGGCGAGCTGCATCTGGAAATCTACTCACAGGTACTCACTTAGACAGGTTGCACGTTTCATGGGACATCTCATCAAATCCATTATATAACGTGGGGATAATTATTTCATCTCCCTGCTGAATCTGTAAGTTTACTCACTTAAAAAGAAACAAATGGGCTTGGATTGGTCTTGTAGTCCATTCCAGCCTCGTGCAGGTCCACACTCTTCTCCCTGTTGTGCATTGGAAAGAAACTGATTGTGTGGACAGGTGTGCTTTAAACACACAAGTTGATATCAGGAGTCTGTAATTGATTGACTGATTGTAATCTGTGTGCCCAGTTTGGATGAAGGGGATCGAATACTTGTTTCGCTCAAGGACATTCAAATCAATTTCTAATGTTTATGTAACAGATTTGTTCCGTCTCTCTACTTTAGAAACTACTAGAAAAATTAGGCTGTTAATTTCTTTGTGAGCAAACTAACAAATTCAGTGAGGGAATCAAATAATTTAGTGAGTGTCTTTGGCCTTACCAGCGTTGCTTTATCTCAGGCTAATTTTGGAGTTTGGAGTAAAGTACTTCAGTAGTATTTCCATGAAGGCTTTAATTCTGCAAATTAACAGATCTCTGTTCTGAGTAACCTTTATGATCTAATCCAAGTTTATTTTTGCTCTTTTTCTCTCAGAGGATGGAGAGGGAATACAACTGCCCCTGTGTGATGGGAAAACCCAAAGTAGCTTTCAGAGAGACGATCACCAGTCCCGTACCGTACGTCCTGATAGTCTTTGTCCTTACGCGCACGCACATACAAGCACGCACAAAATACTTTGTCATTGTAAACAGTTTATTTAAGCTAAAATAGACCAAACACAGACATTTAAAACAATTTCAGTATATCATATACTTATGAGTTAAAGCATTTAAGAGTGTAAATTCTAGGTTTCAGCAGTAGATCTGTGCCTAGTGCTTGTAGCGTCATCATGAAAAAACAACAACAACAAAAACCCATTTATGCGCCAATATTTGACCCCACAAGATGTGAGGACAAATAAGTGGTCTTGGCTGTGTGATGAACACCCACAGATTAGTTAGTCTTTGGAGATTTTTCCCTTTCATGGCGGTGAGGCAGCCGCTTCATCTGCACCACTTTAACCCCCTCTGCAGGAGACCAGGTAAACAGCATCTTCCAGTGAATGATTTCCTGTATCGGCACAGAAAAATGTCAGATCAGCGAGATCTCTGGATGCAAAAATGTGGCTCAGATTGAATAGCAAAGTTTAGCATGAGTGCAGTAAAGTGCATGTTTAATTTACTCCAACACACCACAAGTACCAAATCTATTAGGATTATAAAAAGTTTTATTTTAGCATTTCAGGCTTTTTAAAGGCATTTTTTAGCCAAGTGTCTACCTGGGACACCATTTCATGCAGCAGTGTGTGACAGTCAAACTCCAGGTGGTCCTCCTCAGTTGTCTGTAGGAAACAAAACAAAAAAATTTTTTTTAAAGGCTTAATACATTTGTTTATATGGCCGACATAACCTGTCTTGTTTTACCACATGAAGGACTTTTATTGACAATCTGTATGTATTCAGTAAATCGTGCAGACATGGGGCTTAAAGGGGCTTAAATTTTTGTAAAGCACCTACCAGCTGAGTGATGTTGGCCACCTGAGCCACGTTGTACAGAGTGTTTTCAGTGGATTCATTCAGCATGATGAAGCTGGAGGCCAGAATGCCCAGATGCCAAAAAGGCTTCATGTCGGGCTCGATGTGACCGTGGCTGTCTGAGGGAAGTTTAGAGTTCTCAGTTACGTCTCATCTCTCAAGCGTCCTGCGTTCATGATGACAGCACTTGTGTTGTCAATGTTTAGAGGAACACCGCAGCACCGACAGTGTTGAAATGTCTGAACGCAACTGTTGTGCAAAATCTGACTTTCAGTGTTGATTGGGTGGAACTGCAGTAGCTTGGACAGTTAAGCCTGTTTTATTGGACTTACCTGGTAAGTACTGTGCAGACATCAGGGTTTGGTTGGTCTTGTATTTTTGGTATAGAGCCTCTTCTTGAGCTTTAATGTCAATTTTAAGGAGCCCCTCATGCGAGGCTTTGACTTCAGGTGGCTGTTGCCCTTTTCCTTTTGGAAAGAAAAGCTCTGCAGAGCAAGTCTGTGTAGTCTGAAGGAGTTAAACAAAACAAAGTTAGCAAAAAACGAATAGTAAAGGCATTCTTAGTGAGCAAGAAATGGGAGTGGATGTAGCCCAGATGAGTCGAGGTTGCACCACACCATCATACAAGCTAACATAAGCCTCCTTTTATAGGCTGTTTAGTCATTCTTGTCAGACCTGCTCACACTAAGCCAGACGCTGTGAGATTGTTTACCATACCTAAGATTTATTTGTAGGATCTTTCAATAGGCAGCAGCAAACACAGATAACGCTGTGTTTGGGAGTGGGTGAAGACATTTATTCAGATTACCTCCACCCTATTTGAGAGGTGGATCATTACTCTTTGTGGTTCTTAAGAAGCTGCAGCTGCACCCCCCCTCCCTCCTCCACCATTATGTCTTTTTTCCTCACATTGTGGTTAAAAGAAAAAGAGAAAAAAGAAAGTCCTACATTGGTTATGATATCATTCACCGAGAGCTCCAGCTGATACTTTCTTCCGGAGTCTGCCACATCCTGAAAGAAAAATTGGAAATTCAAGTTGTTGTTGTTGTTGTTTTTTATTTACAGTGGCATATTCACATATTTCAGTGTTGAAGGTCAGCTGACCTCTGCGTTCCCACTGTGGACCGTCTGCACTCCGATCAGCCTGAATGGTGAACCGTACCGGGTGTTGAGGTAGTGTTGGACCACCTGAGCTGCCCTCCTGGCAGGGTAGTGATTTGGGTTCAGCTCGCCAGTTGCCATCACATCCTCCTCGGCTCCCTCCTCTGTCCGTGCCTTTATCTGTGGGTGGAAAGTGGAGGGAGAGGGAAAAGGAGTGAATGAGAACAGAAGATGGTTATTGTGCAGGGCTTCCAGTTCCTGGAGGACTTTGATCTTTAGGTGTGAGCAGCTTTGCACACAACAGCCACTGAGCAATACAGGAAAGAAACCATGTGTTTTCTTACAGGGTGAAGTGATACGCAGCTGTGAAGTGTCCCAAACTGAATTAAAGTGGGGAGTGAATCTCTGCCAACTGGAATGTTTTTTCCCCTCACAGTCGGTGTTCCGAGTCAGCTGCTCCTCGCGCAAATGGAAAGATAACTTCCCACTTCCTCTGACAGTAGAGTTCACTGAGGACTGCCCCTTTTTAAAGAGACAGAGCCCTTTTTAACACTTCCTCCTGACTTTAAAAAAAAAAAAAAAAAAGCAGCGCTTTACAGCAAACAGACCTCTGCAAATGTTTGCAACTTAGTAAAGTAGGTCAAATTTGGTTATATAGTAATGGAGAGTTTCAGCTTCAGTTAAAATATGAAGGAAATGTTCACATTTTAGTGGATAGAGCTGGAGCTTAAGTATACTTGGTATTGGTACAATCTTATATTTGGAGTAAATTAGAGATCCCCAACAGACATATTTATAAATGCAATTTCATCAATCATCAGAAGTACTGAATAGTTAAAGTTACATCTCATCTTTCCTCATTAAAACAGCCTAGGATATGCAAATACTTTGTTATAAACCCAAAATAAAACTGTACATTCCAGTACTTAAACCTACTTTAGTTTCTTAAGAGTATTCTTGGTTATGTTGGTTCTTTGATTTGATTGGTGCATACATTTGGATCATCTACTTCCTGTTGTGTCGCTCTATGTTAACAAGTGTTCCCCCCACTCTCTCGTAGATTTGACTTCACCCATAAGAAGCAGAGTGGCGGCTCCGGGCAGTACGGTAAAGTCATCGGGGTCCTCGAGCCTCTCGAGTCAGACCATTACACCAAACTGGAGTTTGAAGATCAAACTGTTGGAACCAACGTCCCAAAGCAGTTTGTGCCAGCTGTTGAAAAGGCATGCAAACACTTTCACGTGGTCTCACAGAATAAGTTTTAAACACAAGTGGAAGCGATTCCAAATTTAAAGTCTCGATTTTCTCCCTCCTTCCCCCATCGTGCTGCAGGGCTTCAAGGACGCCTGTGAGAAGGGCCCTCTGAGCGGGCACAAGATCTCAGGAGTCCGATTCCTCCTGGAAGACGGAGCGCACCACATGGTCGACTCCAATGAGATCTCCTTTATCCGCGCAGGAGAGGGCGCTCTAAAACAAGGTGAGGACGCCCTTCTGTTTGTTTTTTCCATTTGTGTCCGATTCAGCTGAAAAATATCTGGTTTATGTTGCCGCTGGGTTCACCGTTTTCTCCACAGCTATGGAAAAGGCCAACGCAGTGATCCTGGAGCCAATCATGTCCGTGGAAGTCGTTGCACCCCAGGAGTTTCAAGGAGCCGTCATTGCTGGAGTAAACCGCCGCCACGGCGTCATCACAGGACAGGATGGGGGTGAAGGATACTTCACTCTTTATGCTGATGTAAGTCCAGTAAATATAAACGATACAGTGCTTATCTCCAGTTTCACCCGCTTTCTTGTCCTGCTTTAACTCGAATGTCATCCTGTTTGTTCCAACAGATCCCACTAAATGACATGTTTGGTTACGCCACAGAGCTGCGCTCTTGTACTGAGGTAAGTTCAAAAACATACAAAACCTGACGGTCAGGTAATGTTGAGGAATGAGTTCAATTAAAGTTTGTTTTTCAAATGATATCATAGACCATATGGTAGGTGTTTAATATGAGGTAAAGCCTCCTGTGGATGTGGTGAAAGTGGTCACTCGTCTGTGCAAAGACTGTATAAGTATTCAATCTGTTGTCAAAGAACTGCCCTCCATTTTTGGACATTTGCAGCGGTTGCGTTTGGCTCTGATAAGCATGCTGATCCTGCATGTCCCAGTCATCCTCGACAGGAAACTTGTTACAACATAATGCTGGTCAAGGAAGCATCTGGATATGCTCCTCATCCAGGAGGGCCTGCACTACTCTGGCAGCGTGGAGGGGTGGGGGACATCTTTCTGCTGAACTAGCTGCAGGGTGGGGGTACTGCCATAACAATGACTGGAGCTCATCTCAGGACGTCTGTCCAGTCACATTTCCATCAAGAACAATCAGATCAGAGCTGGTGCTCTAAGCAGAGGCTTGAACACGCATGTATGACAGTATGCAGTCTGCTGAAGCCTCCGCCTGCTATGTAGCCCATTTGTGCTACTTTGATAGCCTACAGCTGGAGTTCACAGTAAAAACTGGAGGCTTCTTGGATGAGTGCGTCAAGTGTGTTGATCAGGTCCTGGATTTTGGCAACTAGATATGGTTCAAAGAATTTTTAGCGAGAAAGATTAGATGGATTGGAGATGTGCACGGACAAAAATAGAGGAAATTCTTGGAATCAGACATGGTTTGTAGAAGAAGACAGCTGAATTGCTAACATGTTGTGTCATTGTTTATTCAGGGGAAAGGAGAGTACACCATGGAGTACAGCAGATATCAGCCCTGCCTGCCCGCCGCACAAGAAGAACTCATCCACAAATACTTGGAGGCTACAGGACAGCTGCCAGCGAAGAAGAACAAGTGGAAGAGCTGAACTCATCATTTTCTCCTCATCTTCAACCACAGCTCTACACAAAAACAAGATTTTACTTTCCTTTAGTTGTTTAATCCCCCCTCCTAATGTCTGCCTCACGTGGAAAGACTATTTATTACCTGCATTTTAGCAACAGTTAAGTCTGCAGGCAGCGTTTAAGCTCAGAGTTTTGACTTGAGCTTATAATGGCTTTTGTACTATGTACAGAAAGGTCTTTATGTTATAATGATTGCAACAAAGACGTATTACCTTCAAGTGTACTTGCATGAGTGTGTGTCAGTCATTGCACAATAACATCTTGGAAACATTTCATCCCTCCCTTCAAATCCAGCTACTAAGCAACACAAACCACAGCACAACAGTCGTCCACCGGGTTGCTCCTCACCTGCTCAGATTCATCCGCCGTCTCAGGTATGCTGTTGGGATGAGCTGACGTGTCCGCTGAGGCAGTCGGAGGGCTGATTGTCACGTCGGGAATCCCACTTACTCCCATTAACACAGCCAGAACGACGACGAGCCTCATTATTTCAAACGGACGCTGGGAGAAAACAGTAACGACTTCAGTGGAAGAGCGCAGGCGGGGAAATGACTGTCCTGTGAGAGTGGAGTTATGTAAAGAGGAGGAGGAAGCAGAGAGAAGAGACTGTCCAGATCCTGCTGTCTTCCTGCAGCAATCTGTATCCAAACAAACTGCTCCACTTTATCTGCTGTGCTCTCAAGCTGCAGGTGTGATTAATCAGAAAGCTTGGCGCTGGGCTGCTGTTTGTCACTTAAATTTGGGGGAGGAAGACTTTTACTTTGCCAGATTAAACATGTTTCTGCCCAATATCAGCTTGCCAAAGGAAAAACTGAAAAAATGTCTAAAACTAGGTGGTCTGCACTTCACATTTTGTGAACAATATTTTTTTTTTAATAAAACAAATGCTTTTGTTGACCTTGAAAGCCATAGTTCAGGAAACACATTTGGGACGTCCCCACAGACGTCACTGTAAGATTGTTTCTGTCGACTTTTATCCCGTTAACTGACTGGGAGAGGAAAAAGAACAGATTGGACACAGACCTGTGGGACAAAATGGACTGTTGCAAAGAATAATCTGACACTAATTCACAGGAACAACCCTGATAGCATGTTCTAGCTCCTGGGTTTGCTATCTAAAAGCTCTGGCTCCCATTTGACTCATTGTGTTTGTTCACGGATTAATCAATGAAATGGAAAATTAAATACTGCTTTTCAACAGCTGCCATTCTTAAATATTCGGTTTACTGACGGCAAATGAACGATAATGGTTGCATATTAATTTTCCATTGACTGGAAAAACAAACAACCCACTTCCACCGGACAGCAAAGGAAAATGTCTGGTTCTGGGAAGATTGCAACAAAAACAACACAATACTTTAGGAAGTGAAAGATTTTTATTGCACGCCTTCAAATTAAAACGTGACACATCAGAAAAATCTATTTTGTCACTTGTGTGCACGATGTGATGGAAAATATGGTGGACAGAAGCTCAGCGAGTGCTCCACCTTCTCAGTGTCTGTCCAACACTTCAGCTCAGTCCTGAATTCTTTTCCTCTGTGAACTTGAATGTTTACTTTTTATCCAAGTGACAGTTATGACCTGAGACGCTGAGCTACTGCTCAGACTCAACAGGCCTCAGTTGGTATGTTAAAGTTCATAATAGCATAATTAGAAAAAGACTGAACAAGTACAATACAGCTTGGTTGGAAGGGTTTCCAGAAGTCTCTTGCTTCTAAAAAGAAGGCAGCACAGCTTAGGTTTGCAAAGCTGCATCTGAATAAGAACAAGAACAATGTGCTTTGAACAGATGGAGATGTTTGATCATAATGCACATAAAGCACCACGTTGGGACAAAACCCAGAAACCTCATGCCAGCTGTGACCACAGTGGTGGAGGGATGGGGAAAACTGAGCGATGTCTTTAGAGTTTTATCTTCCTTTTGCAGACCTGAGGTGCTTCAGTGAAGTGTTAGCTCTATATTTGTGTCAAAATCTGAATTTTATGAAATCTGAGAACATTTCAGTCTGCACAGGTCCAAATAAGTGAAGCATAATATAGGAAACAGTTAATAAACGACTTGTATCACAAGTTTAAAATCTACATTAAGACACAGAGCACATCTCAGCCAGCTTGCTCTTCTTCCTCCTCTTCTTCACAGGAGTCACCTGTTGGGAAACTGCTGCACTTTGAGCATCATGTCTACAGCTCCCCCCCTGCTGTTTTCTGTGTCCTTCGTTGTTTGTTTCCAGCCAGACGTCCCGGGGCAGATTATCGATGAGCTCGTAGAGGGTGAAGATGCTGAAGCAGATTTCGTCGTAAGCTGTTTTGGTACCACACTCAAACAGGCAGGCGAAGGCCACAGCAGGTGGGGCTCCAGGTGAGGGTGACAGCTCCAGGTAGGCCAGGTCAGAGTATGCGCTCGGCCCATCATAGATCACCCAGGGGCCACGCCAGCTGTCTGGATCACGGGGGAAAAGGCTGAGGAACAAGCCCAGGTTTTTGCGTGCAGTCGTCCATGTTGGGTGGGAATATACTACCCACGTAGGAGTCAGGAAATCCGGAGGGGCTTCATGAGGAGGTGGGATGGAGCTGGTGGTGCTGGAGCTGTTTGCTGACACTGAAAAGGCTACAGAGCTGGTACTCGACTTGGAGAGACTGGACTCTGTGGTGCAGGATGTCCAGTGTCTGGAGAGCCGTACAGGTCGCTGTAAATCGTTGCTAAGACTCTGACACAGATTTAACGGGGCAGGAAATCCAATAATACTCCCATGACAACCATTTCGAGGCTCCACCAACCGCTGCACCAGCTGCCCCTCCTGAAACACGGCTCCATCATCCAGACTGAGGGCCTGCACTCTGTACCCGAGAGGGCTTCGAGCATTACAGTATAACACGTTAGTCCCATCCTCTTCGTCCACAGACACCATCTGACACTCCACGGTCTCTGGTCCTGGGACCGCCTCTCCAAAGCGCCAGGTTCTCCCGTGGGTGTCACTGTGAAAGCAGAATGAGTGGGGAGTGGTCTGGCAGAGGTGGCCGAAGCACTCTTTGCACTCGATGTGGTAGGCGTAGGCAGGAATGAGCAAACGGCCCGACTTCAGCTGGATGCCGTGGCCCGGGCCAAGAGCGAAGGTGGCCCATTCTGCCAGGAAGGAAGCAGAATTGGGACTGTGGATTTTGTCATCTTGTGACTCTTACTTAGATCTTTTTGTTGAAGACAAAGAGGCTGTTTCCAATTTAACTGGAGATAAATAATACCACAATGCTTTTTCGAATGAGCCTCACCTTTAATAGTGTCTCCTATGACCTTCTTGGTGAGGTCGGTGACGGGACTCCAGGTGTCGCCATCATCAGTGCTGGAGACGTAGCACAGTCTGGTCACGTTCTTCCCTGTCACCAGCTGATAGGACTCTGAGGTGTGACCCAGAACAGCGATGAAGAACAGAAAGAGAGTGCCCGTGAACTCATCGTAGACCGGGCACGGGTTCATGGATCGGTGGCCTGGCAGGAAAGCAGTGCCCAGAACACGGATGTCCTCCCACTGCAGACAAACGACGATTGAGAAGAATCACAGGAGACACAAGAAATGATGCTTCTCACGTCTGTTTGATTTTACTTAAAATGCCTGTTCAGTCAAATTACAAAACAAGAGTTAAAAAAAAGATTTTAATTATTTAATTTTTTTTTACAAACTTCATATGCGACTGGGGAGAGTGCCCGCCCTATGGAAGACATCCTGCATCGTCCCGGTCCCCAAAAAGAACCGGCCCAATGAGCTGAATGACTTCCGACCGGTGGCACTGACGTCACATCTTATGAAGACTCTAGAGCGGCTCTTCCTCAACCTCCTCCGACCACAGGTACAACATGCCCAGGACCCACTACAGTTTGCATACAAGGCGGGTGTCGAAGTGGAGGATGCCATCCTGTACCTCCTACACAGAGCCCACTCACACCTGGATGGGGGAAAAGGCACGGTCAGGATCCTGTTTCTTGACTTTTCCAGTGCCTTTAATACCATCCGGCCCTGTATGCTTCAGGAAAAACTGAACAGGATGGAGGTGGACCCCTGCCTGGTGGCTTGGATCTCCGACTACCTCACCGACAGACCACAGTACGTCAGGCTGAAGGACATCACGTCTGACACAGTGGTCAGCAGCACAGGAGCACCACAGGGAACTGTGCTGTCCCCTCTTCTCTTCACCCTGTACACCTCTGACTTCTGCTACAACTCTGAATTATGCCACATTCAGAAGTTTGCAGATGACACGGCCATCATGGGGTGTATCTGGGATGATCAGGAAGAGGAGTACAGAAGTCTGGTGAGGAACTTTGTCGCATGGAGTCACACAAACCACCTGCAACTCAACACCTCAAAGACTAAGGAACTGGTTGTGGACTTCGGGAGGTCCAGAGAAGGTCCACTGCCGGTTCAGATAGAGGGGGAGGAGGTGGAGGTGGTCAACAAGTACAAGTACCTCGGGCTGTGGGTGGACAATAAACTGGACTGGTCATGCAACACAGAGCACCTGTATAAAAAAGCCCAAAGCCGACTGTACTTCCTCAGGAGGCTGAGGTCTTTTAACATCTGCAGGAAGCTCCTGAGGATGTTTTACCAGTCAGTGGTTGCTGGAGTACTTTTCTATGCTGTGGTGTGCTGGGGGAGCAGCACAGCAAAGAAGGACTCATCCAGGCTGGAGAAACTGATCAGGAGGGCTAGCTCTGTGGTCGGCATGAAGCTGGACACTCTGGTGACAGTGGCAGAGAAAAGCACACTAAAGAAACTGATGGACATTATGAACAATGCTGGGCATCCTCTGCACACGGCCATTAACAACCAGAGGAGTCTGTTCAGTGACAGGTTGCTTCTCCCCAAGACAAGAACTAACAGACTTAAAAACTCCTTTGTCCCACACGCCATCAGACTGTTTAACTCCTCTCTGGAGGGGAGAGGGAGGGGAAACAGGAGGACAAAGGAGGGGGGAACAACTAAGCTGTAGTGCCTCTTCACCTCACTGTACAATACCTTGTGCAATACTTTTTGTAAATAGTCAACAGTGCAATAGACTCAATACTTGAAATGTGCAATTCACTTGTATTTTTATTTTTTATTCCTATTTATTCTATTTATCCCCTTTGTATATTTTATTTATATTTGTCTCTGTATTTATATGTGTGTGTATATGTGTGTATATATATATATATATATATATATATATATATATAACAATTCTGTAACTGTAACTTCGGTCGTTGCTGTGCTTTTTTTTTGGAAGTCGAATTTCCCAGAGGAACCCACCCGAGGGATTAATAAAGTTCTATCTTATCTTATCTTATCTTATATTTAGAGGATTATAGAATCTGAAAATTACATTTAAAGTCTGTTATTGTTTTTTATTTTTGTACTTTATCAGCCACACTTGGTTAAAATACTTGAATAAAATCTTCAGTATATTTATTTTTTATTGTACCACTTATATTTGCACTGAATGATATTAAATCATTATAGGTGCCATAAAACTTGCTTTACAGTCTGATTTAATTCGTTGAATCTAAAACAAGACTATCAAAATTTTCCTAACTCACTGTTACTTTGTAAAGTCACTATTTTTCTTATTATAACCTGTTAAA